GAGCAAATGCAGGGGCAGGAGTGAGTGCTAGGGCCTGGGACCCAAACCTGGGGATCCCATCCCAAGAGCCTGTGAGCTCTGCCAGCAGCTCCTGCCCCTCACCAGTTTGTCCAGGCCTGTAGATGTTCTTGTCTGTCTGCACCAAGGTCCCCAGCTCCAGGGTTTTCACCAGTACTGCCTTCTGCTCAAAGACCTGCAGGGAACCTCCCTGGATGGAGACGTGAAGATGCGCAACCTCGTGGATCCCTGCTGGAGGGGTAGAAATCTGCCCCCAAGGAAACAGCAGAAATGGTTGCAATGCCTTTATGTTGGATGCCAGTGGGACATCGTACCTGTCCCCCGTCATCACCACCCCACAGAGGCACCAGGCAGCTGGCGTGCATGGGAAGATGACACAGATACAGCCCACAGGGTCTCCACACATGCCATGTGTCCCTCCACCCTTCACCTCACTCATTCCTATCCAGGACGGACCCCACATCTCCTCCCAGTTCCCCCAGCCTGGCTCTGGCAGTGGGTAGGGGATGGAGGTCCTCAGCCCTGCCATGGAGCCGTGACTCACATTGGAGAAGTGGGGCCAGTTCAGCTGGAGGACATCGCTGCCCTGCTCCTCCAGGGTGACGTTGGGGACGCTGAGGCTGCTCGCCAGGTGGAGGGTGACCCGCACAGGCTCGTCCAGGTCCATGAGGTGGACATGCACTTTGCCCGTGTAGGGGTAGTAGAGCACGGAGGGGAAGAGCACCATATAGCGCCTGGGGAGGGGACACCTTGGTAGTGGAGGAGAGCAGGGACCCCCCACCAAATCCCAGTGCTCCCCTCCACTCCAGACCCTCAAGGTGGAGGGCACTTGGGTTTTTTCCAGCCCTGGATGCTCTCTGCAGGGCTATGCCACCCAGCCTTCACCCCATCTACCCCAGGTTGGCTAGACACAGACCAGAGCAGCCCCCTCTTTGCTCAAACACCTTAGGAAAGAGCTGAGGGGTTGATCTGCTGAGGGAGGAAAGGCTCTGCTCCCCCACTGGCTTCTGTGTGAGGTTGCATCTACACCAAAGAAGCCCAGAGACACCAACCCCAAGGTGCAAAGTCCTTGATGGGGGCAACCACCACCCCCAGAATTTCCACCCTGACCAGTCACAGCAAGGATTGTCACGCCACTGAGACCAGCCACCATCCCATCAGGCATGGACAGGCAGACACGGAGAGGGCTTACGGCTTTGCAGATGCTCCAGCTGAGAGGTATAGGATGCAAAGCAGCAAGCAGGGCAGGGCGGCTGTGGACACCATGCTTGGAGGACCAGCAGAAGCCAGGTCCTGGAGCCCCTGTGCTGACTTTTCTTCCCCTCCTCAAGCTTTCACCTCCCCGCTGGCAGCGAGCAAAAGCCAGCAAGGTCTCTGGCTGGGACCCAGTCATCCAGTTAGGACAATATTTAACCACCAGACCCAAGTTTTGCTGGGTTCAAGGCTCTGGGAAGCCAAACCACACCCATGGTGGGGTGGGCACATGGTGGGAGTGCCGGACCAGCTCAGAGCTGATCGAATAAGCTGCATGCAGGGAGCTCCGGCAGGAAGGAAGGGGATAAAGGGGCTTCCTGCGCAACAAGGTCCTTCACGTGCACGCTGCCCTTGGCCGTCTCCACCTGGCAGCTCCTGATCCAGTGAGTTATTTCTCATGGGAAGCCTCTTTTCTGTTGCTAACATTTTTGCCGAGAGGTCTCTGTCTGGGCAGACGATTGCCACAGTTTTGCAGAATTTCTTCCATAATGAGCCAGCCCCTCCCAAAAACGAGGATGATGCCAAGCCAGAGCACTGCGCCCTTTTCTGGCCGTGGTTTGCACATCTTATTTGGAGGTGGGAGGTGATGCCTGCCCGCCCTGCTCCCGGCACCAGGAACAGCCAGGCACCGCATCCCTCCCTGCCCTGCTGTCCCCCCGGGGTGGCTGGGACAGGAGCTCCTCAGCGGGGAAGGAGCCAGCAGGTTCCCAAAGCCCCGTATGGCTACAGAAAACAGGCCAGGAGAGATGGTGGCTGATGAATGGGTCTGGTTGTGCCCATAGGAGACCATGGGGAGGTCCCTCCTGCTCCAGGTGGGCATAATCCAGGCACCTCTGCCCTCTGAGGGTTTGGGGCTTTAATGGATGCTCTTCTTGCGCACGTGCTGCTTGTCCCTGGGGCAGGGAGAGGGGGCAGACCTAGCCCACCCCACCGTAACTCTCACCCTGCTCCTCACACCGTCCAGCGCTGCACCCCACAGAGAACCCGTGGCGTCCACAGGGATGCTCCACGTGCTCGGCACCCGGCCTGGCCCAGACTGATCCCCCCCACCCCACCCCCCTCAGCACCCGAGGCACGGGCAGGACACTGTGCACACACACCGCCAGGTATGCACTGTTTAATCTCACACCCTCGTCTCGTAGTTCAGCATCAAGGATGCCCTTCCCCCGTGGCGATACCTCCTGGAGGTCCTTCCCCCCCACCCAAGCCATGCACTGGACCCCTCCCCAGAGCTGGCTGCACCTGAACAGCATTGCAGGACCCCCCGGGACAAGCCCCCCGCAAGCCCACGGGTGAGCCCCGCCGCGAGTCACAGCGTCGGGGTGGAAGATGGAGCAGGGAAGCCCCGGCCCCGCCTGGCACAGCTCTCCCCGCCACACGGGGTGCAGGCAGGAGCCATCCAGGCAGATGGGGGGTGCTACCTAGGGCCACGCATGGCGCCAGGCACGGGGGAGACAGGCAATGCCCTGGAGAGGGGGTGCACAGGCACGGCAAGGGGCTTCTGGGGGCACCTTGCACTGGTTTTGGGGTGCTGCTGGGACCCTGTCCTGCACTGCTCTGCTTCCCCTTGCAACAGGGCACCGTCCTGCCCACGCAGGCTGCCGGGGCGGTGGCAGGTCTGGTGGACAGATACACAGGGGACAGCATGGCCCAGCCTCTGGCTGTGCCACCTCCCTTATGTCCCCAAGGGAGTCAGTCCCTCTCCCTAATTGCTGTTCCCAGTTGTGTCCCCCTCACACGACAGGCTGCCCCTCCCCCTGCCAGCCCCGGCC